GCAAAAACAAGACACAGAAAGCAGAAAGCATGAAGCCAAAAGCAACAAGCAGAAAGCAGAAGCGAGAGAAAGCAGAAAGCAAGAAGCAAAAACAACAAAAGCAGAAAGAGGGAAGCAGAAAGCAAGGAGCAAAAAGCAAGAAGCAAGAAGCAAAAACCAGCAAGCAGAACCAGAGAGAAGAGCAGTAGGCACCACACATGATCAGGAACCACAGAAACAAAAAAAATCCCAAAAAGAAACAACAAAAATCCTAAAAAAAAAAAAAGGCCCCCAGTGAAAACTCTGAATGGAGTGTGCGTATAGGAAGCAGTCACAAATGAAATGCCCATGAGGAAGGCATGTCTAGTTCAAATCTAGACTGTTCCTTCCCCTTTTCCAATGACTTCGGTATCGTGGGGCACCTCCAGAAGCTTGGCAGTCACGCCCACCACAGCCACCAGGCCCATGATGAAGTCCCAACCCGCCTTGGTTCAAATGGAGTTTTTCAAAAGTCAGTGATGCCTTTGTGGGAGGCTATCGCAGTGTGTGGTCCCACAGCCGTTTGCGAAACACGCGTGGTTTTGTCTGGGTTTCAATATGATAAGACTTAATGATATTGATACTTGTTAATCACACGCGTGGGCCACAAGTAGTTAGCTAAGCAGGCTTGCTTATCATGTTTAGGGCCTTCTTTCCAGGGTCCATGAGCAAAATGCAGGCCAAAGGGCTTTGTCAGTAATCTTTTCTCTTGTGACAGGCTCCGGAACCCAAAGCCCCTAAATTTCTTTGCATTTGGTTGGGAATACTTGTTAGTAGAGGGCTGGGGGGTTTCAGTTTTACGGGGAGCGGATACATGCACAAGGGCCATGATGCAGGAATCTTTGCCTCATCAGGGACTTAAACATATCACCTCGGAGTTTGAGAGATGCCAAAGCCATCAAGCGCTTAGCAGGGAGAAGACATTAAGGCTGAGGAATTTGAAGCTCTAGCTGAATGGAAGCTGTCACAGGCTCCAACATCCTTCGCAGCTACCAATTTCACATCCCACCATGCATGCTCCATGCAAGATGAAGGCCCTGTCTTTGGGTGTCCCAGAATGCGAGCCTTAGAACTGCTGCAGGTCGCCACCCCCAAGAAACCTAACAATAATTTGCAGGTGGGCGGCGTTTGCACCGTTGAGGTCGAATGACTCGGCCACGCTCACAAAGAGTGGGCCGCAGTAGGTGAGGAAATAATGGTCCTCTAGTCATGAAGGGCAGAGAAGTTCTCTGACTCAAGGGTATATTCCGAGCCGAAACAAACCTTACTATGGGGCACAGTCCTCTGAGACGTCTATACATGTAGGGTTGAACTCTTGTTGTTTACGGAAGTATACATGATCATCAGCCCACCTCCATGCACGAGGTCAAAAGCACCACCCGATGGTTGCGTGCTGCTCCAGCAGCAGCTGCCAGTGACAAAGGCGGAGTCACGGGTTCCTGGGCCTGTGCGGAGAGGAAAGGTTAGAGCCTTCCCTCGTATTGTACAGCACGTGCTGTTGAGAACTCATTATCACATGGGTGGGGGAGTGGTTCTTAGGGGAAGGTGCTATATCGTGCCTTAGATTTTTGTCTGGCTTTGAGGGACCTTGTTCCCGTCAGCAAGCGCTTAGGGCTGAGGGTTCAGGGCCCGTTCAGGGTTTGCGGGTTTGGATTTGACACCTGCTGGAGTTACAGAGTTAAGAACGGGATAAGATTTCAAACAAAAGAGAGCGGGCCGGCGACCGGTGCATGAACGCAAGCAGCCAAAGAATCATCCTGCTGAAAGCCCTACGGGACAGAAGCCGAATGTATAGGCCCAAACTGAGCAGTAATGAGCTTGAGGGCCTCGCGACAAAGGCAGGCAACAAACCAGGATTTGCTTTCAACCGCCCGCATGGGTCCTTTGTCTCTTGCAGACGTTGGCCGACAGGCAACATCTTGAGTATCTCCTTTGGTCTGGGAAGTTTAAGGATGCATAAAGGACAAGTGCTTTTCAGAAAGCTATCTTCCATGACATTCTCGTGCGGTTTGGCATGTCCTACTGGTGGATAGTTAGTCTTGAGAGGCTCTTTCAGTTTCCCACAGCAAGCCCAGAGTAGCTCCGAGGCAAACAAATGAAAGCCGTCTGCTACAAATGCTGCTCTAACGTAGACTTGCGGCGTGTCGCATATCCATGCAAGGAAAGACCCCAAGGGCTCAAATCTTCAATGACAAGTGATGGCAATTCTACCTGGGAATTTTCCTGGCGGGGCCTTCATTGAAAGAAACGCGCAGCCCAACTGCTCAAAACCTTATCGTCATGAATCCCTATGGAGTGGGGTGGGGTGATTAGATCTCCCGGACTTCAGGCGAGACGTCAAGAATGCCCAGGGCTATGGGGAGTGAAAGGTACAAGTCCGTTGTAGGACCCTCGCATTATCATACATATCCGTGTATATTTCGCCAAGGAGTCCACCACATATCCAGAAGCTTCGTTCCCCTAAGCCATAGATCTCTCATCAGGGGCAAGGGACGGTCCACCGTTGCTCTGACTTCCTCCGCAAACGCCTGCGGAGGCGCCGCAGCCAGCGCTTGCCACCCTGCAAAAAAGCAAAGAAACTGAGCATGGATCTCTTTTGTGCTCCATTCCCTACAGAAATAGAATCACATCAGGTTTACGGTTGTTTGGACCCAGAAGGGGGAAAACAACAGCTGCTGAGAAGCTCAGCAAAATCAAGTAAAAGTGACGCTATGAGGCATCTGTGTAGCTTGAGAACTACCAACCACAACATAAAGCTAGCGGCTGTCATCTTTGTTAGGCGGCAAGGGAGCTCACGAATCATAATCGATGAAACGAACTCGTACACCTCATCAAAGTAACTCGTATCACACCATACAGGAACAAACTGGCATCAATAGTTACAACTCAACAGCATGATGCTGCAGACAGTGCGCATATCTCGGTCATTGCAATCCCCGCTGCAAATTCAATAGGTCAAGCAGGAGCCACAGAACATTTCAGAATGCCATTCTTACTCATCCTGGTGGGAACTGGGGGAGAGTGCCGGGCCATATTCTGCATCTTTCACAAGTATTAGGGTTTCACTTCTCAAGTACGCTGAAAGTCCCCTTGCATGAAAGGACCAGCATCAGCCCTGCAAGCTTAAAGGCTGCCTTGGCAAGGGAAACCACCTCCATCAATCGGTGAGGGTCTGCCGGCAAGGTGCCTGACTTTGGGAGGAGGCGTGGATACGTGCAGATTGATAAGGGGTTGTTGGGTGGATCTGTGACTTTGGATTTTGGGTCCTGCGGACGGGGCTGAGAAGAATGTGAAGGAGTCTCTGGAGGGCTCCCCGACCTTCGGCGTGGGTGTTCCAAGACTGTGGAACTGAGGCTCTGCTCGTTTTGATGTGAAATCTTTCGAAGTTTATGACAGGCTGCCCCCAAATGATTTAGTGAGGAGAGAGGTGCTCATGGACATCTCCTCCCACTCCTCTTTGGCAGCATCGCCGCTGCAATGGCTGCAGGAGGATACGACGACGGTGTTGTTGCCGGCCACGCCGAGGGATGACCAGAACCGGCCTTGCAGCGATGGCAAGGCCGCTCCCAGTGACTGTAGACGCATTTAACCGCTAACATAACAATCATGATGAGACTGTACCTACTGGGGCTGGCGTGAGATTCCTGTGCTGTGTCTGGGCAGCATAGAGCACGGAAGGTCTGCATGTCTTACTCGGTGTATGTCTCATGGGAGCAGATTGATCCCAATTTGTAACGTACATACGGCGGTGGATCAGTGTTTCAAGCCTTCCAAACTTCTGCACGCAGCAGAACTGTGTGACACGCAAGGCTGACAGCACTCTCATCCCATCGCACTAGTCAATCTTCTCCAGGGGGGGGGTCAATCGGGGGAAGGGATTAGCGCAAAGGATGCATGGTCCACTTCTGCGCTTTCGCCTCGCAGCTTTGCTGTGTCGTCCTTCTTCTGGTCATGGGCCTTAGCCTCTGCATTGGCACCCGCCAAGTTGAGGTCTGCAGAGAAGCCGCGCTTCACCTGAAAGTCTCTACTTGGGCCCCATGGGGGTTTCCAAGGGTCCCGTTTTGCGAGTTAGAAGAAGAAATTCTAACATTAAGAGGGGGATATGTAAGAAACTACCCTAAAGTCCTCTGTAAACCAGTACGTGCAAGGCTTGCGTGGGGGCAAAAAATGAAAACGTTCTGAATGGAGAATACAATCACGCCAGCGGTGAAAGGAAAACCCTCCGCCACGAGCAAGTGATGAAGCGGAGCTTTGTACAGCCTTGGCTGCTAAAATTGACCGAAATGGCTGCTTCATCTGCCCGACCTTGAGGGCAAGGGGACATTCTCAAACAAGAGGAACGCTCGGGCATCCCAAAACAAGAGCCACATGTAAGTCTATACTGAACAAACAAACGAAGCAGCGAATTCTTCAAGTCGGCGCTGAGCCAGAGGTACTCCTGAATCAGGCTACGGTCCAGGAAGGGATAGCGTGCTTCGACGCCATGCGCACCAGCCGTGCTTTCCTCCTATGGCAGGGAGCTTCCACAACTTGAGGAGCCCAATGCAAGTATGCCTGAAATATGAGGCTTGCCTCAAAAAAAAGGTGGGAACACAAGAATGCTGTTTATTTCAGTGATCACCATCCTTGGCAAGGTAATCCTGCTGCGTCCCTCGGAAGAAGTTGAGCCAGGGAAACACGGTCCAAAGGTGGGAGGGAAAGACTCCCCTCAGCGTGCTGTGAAACTCAAGGGCTCTTCCAGCGTTTCCGTAGTCCTGGGTCACTACGATGGTGAAAGGTATCTTCTTTCGTTTGCTTGGCTTGTAGGATGGGCAGAGCTGCCTACAATTACTGAGACTCCCCTTGACATTACAAACCTCTGACGGCACAGGGAAAGGCACCGCATTTTGCACAGCTGAGTTTGGCCCTCAGAAGGCGGACTTTGCAGCTTGCCATTGCTCTATAGGAACCCCGACGTTTTTCTCAACATCAGCCCAGAATCCGAGATGGACTCATCGGCTCCGCTCCCCGACAGGAACAACCGTTGACCCGAGGCAGCAGCCTGTTCTTTCAGTGGTGCTGCAACCAGAACGAAAAATCCATAGAAGGATCCATATTTTCCTCTAAGTAGACAGAAACATATGAAATGATTACAGATGAATGCGACCCGCAGCCATTTCTAGATTGCCTCAAACATTTACCTCGCCTGTAATTCCGTGCTCCCTGGCAGCCCTAGCAATCCTGGCGATAGATCCAGGAGAGGCCTGCTGCCGCCTTGTCGTCCTAGGTCAGTGTTAGGACAAATTTGAACCAATAACTGCATTAAACACGATGGACAAACTTGAGCCGACAGACCTGCAGCAACCCCTAAACGCCTACCTACTTCCGGCTAAGGGCTAAAGATGTCAGAACTTACAGAAAAAGTGTTCTCCAACAATGACCCAGGCATCCACGTTGGCGTAGCCCGGGCGCAGCTTGTACTCCACACGCTCAGCCATCTCCCTCAAAAAAAGCTTCTCCTGCGCGAAGCTTTCTGTGGAGAGGCGACTGAGCTTCCAGGTCGCATTCATGCCTGGGTCAGTCTTGGGGCATAAGAAACTGTGCTAGGGTGTCACTATCACGACATGTTCTGTGTGAGTCACGACTAGTCCGTGAGTGGTTAAATTCATCCCAACAACGATGCGCAGGTGCCTTGCTGCTTCAAGTGAAAGAAGCGCTCTACCAGAATCCCAACGTCTTCTCGTGCTTGTACAGTGTACATGGCCGGCTGGATTCCCAGCTTGCCAAGAGAAAGCGCGATGCCGCCGCTATCATAGCCATCACTCAAACACATGGCGGGAGTCTCCCGCCCTGGGACCTGGGCGAGCCATTCTTGGCATACAAAAAAAAAAACATGTTTCTTTGACGTTCCTTACGAATTGAACGCGTAGACAATGTCCCGGATATTCCAAAGGCGGATCTAGGAACCATCTTGTTCATGCCAGCTCTTCGCTGAACTGCCTTCCGGAAAGCCGCCTGCCAGTCGTCTGTGTGGCTCTTGTGCCTGAGCGCGTCCGAACATGCAACAAACTTAGGGGGCCAGGCTAGAAAAACTAAATCTCTGTCATCAGGGATCTGATCATCACCCCATAATATTAACTTTGTAGAATAAACCGGCCAACCCCTCATTGTAAATCCTTCCTCAATACATGATGGTACTATCTTGGGGGAATAACTGTTATTGGAGAGTGGGGGGTGTATAGGGGGGAGGCGATTACTCAGGTCAATATCTCGCATCTTCAGCTCGCAGGGCTGGAAGAATCGAGCAGTGTGTCAAGTTGATCATCATTACAAGTATGGAAGCAAAGAAAAACCCCGCAAAAAAGGCACAAGCTTGTTGCTGGGTATCCCAGGTGCTGTCTCAAGTCAAACTCAAAGACGGCCAGGCGTGTCACCTGCGTAATTAGGGTTCCAAGGTCCCAAGAACGGTTCGATAAGTAGGTGGGGCTCCGAAAATTTGAGGTCCTGTTTCTTGGGATAATCCTTATCAAGGGTCACATCATTTGGTGGTTGACAAAGGGGTTCCCGATGTGCACCCGAACTTACGACATAGTCCTCATAGCGGGCCTGCCGAAGGGACCTATAAGTTCAAGAAACAGTCAGGGTTTGGTAAATGCCCCCCACCCTGACGGACTTGTGCTAATTCTGGAAACAGGTCGGCTGATGTATCTACATGTCAGTTCAAGACAAAATCTTCAAAAACCTAGTCTCGGAAGCCATACATAGTTTCCTGGCGTCGGAAATCATTCCAACTCACAAGTGACAACAGGGCAGTAGCACACTCTTGCCTACAAACATCTCCCATGACATCCTCCCTCAGCTGATGCAACCAAGCCACGACAAAAGGCGCAGGACCTTCAGGTCCCGCAGGCGGCAGGATGTTCGCCTGTGCCAAGCTCTGATGAGGCTCAAATGCTCTGGGCTTCTGGGCAACAGATACCGGCACTTCACAAAGAATGAACACAAGCCATGCGGAAACTCCGTGAACTTGTACTTTGCACTCCCTATCTGGCCCTCCCTCCCCGCCGATGCGGGGCTCTCCCCATGCTGTGGCATCTTGAAAATCACCACGCTGTTGGGCTCCACTTGCCGGATGTCCTGCGCACTCAAACGGTGCTTGGACTACCTGTTGTTTCTAGCTCGGAAAACTTCTCCAGCACAAGGAGAGCTAATAGTCATTTTGAGCTGTTTTAACTTGCATCTTTGCAAAGCTGAGGCTTTTGGGGCCAACCCCCCTCCAGGAAGAAGCCTTCCACAAAATGCACCTGCATCCCAACAACTCTATTGCTCTTACGGAGACATCTATTGTGGTGGAGAATCAGGTAACATGGCATGAAAACTTGGGTCACATAGTGGTACAACAGCTTCAAAGAAGACATGACCAGGAAAACCTTGAGCATGATGGATTTTTTGCAGTCTGACCTGCTATAACACTGGTGTTATGTTAATACACTTGGTACTGCCCTTGGACACTTTCTTCTGCCCCGCCATGAACCTTTATCTGGTAGGCCCTCACAGGCAGTTCCTCCAACGTGGGGATTCCTACTCAGTGGGCACTAACAAGCTCCCATCTATCCTTTGAAGCCTGGTGCTCCTGGAAGCCCAGCATCATAACGACAGTTGGGATAACGTCCCCAAGCCCTGCCCCCTTCAACGTTGAAGGCCATGCCCCTGAACTCCTGATGCCCCAAACCAGTGTCTTCAAGTGTCTTCTCGTCCTTTTGAATCCATGGAGGTTGCGCTAATCCAATTTCATGTCTGTCTTGTTGAAGGCATGTTCAACAAGCCTCATCTGCAAAGTCCAGCCGACGAAGTGCGGAGGCGTAGGAGGCCACGGCAAATTTTCCCGACTCGCTCCTGTTCAGAAATTAATGGGAACAGTTCGGGGAGGACCTGCAGGGCTTTAGACGCCGCATCTCATGAAACATCACGGGGGCTAGGGGAGAAGGTGCGCTAAGTCAATCCTGCGTAATGACCGGCTAAAGGTTGTAAAAAGATCCAACCTGTATCACGTTCTGAGTTGAAGTCCTCAACATGCGCACCACGCTGCATGCATGCAGGTCCCACTCCAACTAAACAGCTCCATGGCGGACAGGCATCTTACATGTGCCCTTGACTAGCACGCGCAAGTTTCGCAAGCAACTCCAGCTATGATGAGTCAAATCTGAGGGGCGTGGGCTTGAGGAATTATTCTTGTGGGTCCTAGCTTGCGCTTCACCCTTTTTCCCTCTGAACTCACTTGTCCTCGCATACCAGAGCGGCTTTGTCCCGAAGGTGTCCTGGCTCTGTAGTTTTGCTCTTAGATTTATGAGAGCCATACACTTCCTGTGCAGGTTGGCAGCTTTGTTGACATGGAGGTGACTCAGTAGCCTATACTGAAAATATCATTCGGCCATCCACAAGCGCGATGATGAACCTCCAAGGACAAAGGAAGGGCCCATGTATGAGGAACCTCGCGCTGCAGCGGGGTCGTGAACCACCATTTTGAAAGTCCGAGATTGCTTCGTCAGGGCAGGCCGTGCTCGCTGACTACAAGTATCACATTGCCACATTTCTGAGAACAACGATTGTGAGCCTCATCCAGCTTTGTGGGCAACAGCCGAGGAGCATATGTGAGTTGCAGTACAAACGGCAAACGCGGAGACTGTAAGTTCTGCTTCTTGCTGAGGCCGGGAGACGGACCGTACTCGTAAATGATCCTATCTTCATGGCACTGCTGTTCTCACAGGTGCTTCTTCCGTACTTTCTGCGCCCGTGCACTGAACACATGTTGCTTGGCCGCGCACACCTTCACAAGATACGTAAAGATAGCCCTAGGCAAAAACTCCTGCACACAAGATGCCTATAGAATGCTTTTGGTGAACACGTGTAACGCAATCCATGGTTCAGAAGCATGCTATGTGGGCTCGTTCGCTGTGCGCTGTGTGCCAGACCAAGATATCCCTCTTCCCTGACCCTGGCAGTGTCAGTTGCACTTAGCAGAAATAACAACTTGCACAGCGTGAACAAAACACTGGTGCAGACGAGCTTCCCTCGCCAGGAGCACCTGTCCTTTGCCTCAGCTGACCAAAAGACATGAACTACGAGAGGTGGCGTATCCTGTGGCGTGATTATGTCTGTTGGAAGGCCCCGTCACTCTTGAAAAGCTTTAGCACTCCGCATCCATCTGATGCACTCCAGCCCACGAGCAATAGGAAGAACCTTTCTACCTAGTCCCCCGTTTACTTTCAGGCCTGCTCCCCTGACTCTGGGTAGAGGCCCACTGACTTCTCCTGGCCAAGGTTCCGAAGTCAAAAACCACAATCGCATACTCGCCATTGAGGCGTCCCGCGAATCGCCTGCCCTCACCTTGGATGCATCAACAAGGCTCGGGGCAAAGCAGCGGTGGGAGAAAAGGGCTTGCTTTCGGAGAGCTGCATCGGCCTTTCAAGACAATAAACAGATGATGGCAAGTAGCATATTTTTCATGCTGCAGCAGCCACTACCGATATCACCACTGCCCCTTCTCCTCTCCTCTCCTCCTCCTTCTGATGCTACATCACAGGAAAGCATCGTGACACATATGGCCACAAAGAGCATATAGCAGTGTAAACCACTATTGCTCAAAATGCCAAGGATGACCAAACTATTGACCCACAAACTCGTAGCAACCATAATGAAATACTGACTTGTGATTCAGATCTTCATGTCCATAATGCTGCTCTAGTCTATCATGCAAAAAAAAACGGCCGATACCTAAAACAACAGCTACCACCGCCGCCGCCGCCGCCGCCGCCACCACCACCACCAGCACCAGCAGCACCAGCAGCACCAGCAGCACCAGCAGCACCAGCAGTACCAGCAGCAGCACCAGCAGCA